CTGCACAGAGGCCACCAGCAGGGCTGTCAGCTGGTGATGTACTCACTACTCATGGGCTGAGAGCGACAAGATAAAGCCTTCTGCCCAGTGCAGCCTCCCAAATCACCCTGGCATTACCTGCTCTGGTTTTCCAGACTTTTGGCCCTAACAAATTGGACATAATCAACCCCAGGCTGTAAGGGAGGAGGGAGGCAAACCCCCTCAGACTTCCTTGCTTGTAACAGAGATACGGTCGGTTTTTCTGCAGCATTCGGTACATCTGGTGCAACTGGAAGTATGCCAGAATCTGGGCAGCCCCTCAGCTTGGACCAGCAAAGCAGTTGCTGGGCTCTCAGGGACAGCAGGGGCAATGGGGCTGCAATGGGGGACAGCAGCACAGGAGGGCATGGTGCTATCACCAGCATTGTCACTGCAGGGCTGCAATGAGATAGACAGCATTACAGGGCTGTGATGTGATGAGCAGGTTCCCAGTAGCTGTCGGGCTGCATGGCACAGTTGCACAGAAATGGATTGGTAACATTCCAGGGGAACAGCCTGGATTGCAACTGGGTGAGCCTGTGACGGATGGGATGAGCATCATGATGCCAAGCAGAATAAAGGCATCGCAAGCTTCCCAAGGCAGGAAGCACAGAACAGCTAAAACATCCTACCTGGTATGGAGAAGATGTATTTCTGAGACACACGTAATCCTCTTCTGGAGCTCCAGGGATGCTTTTCCCACGCAGAGCACTCTGGTACGTCTGTGCTTGGTGAGAAGGAGGTGCACAGCAGCTGCTGGCCCAGAGCATGGCAGAGGTGTCCCTGGGAAGGACACCTGGTGCCACCAGCTCAGCTGCCCACAGACAAACTGCTATCTAGGAAATGGTGTGTGTCTTTGTGTGCCCCGCCTGCATCCCATCCACTCAGTGCTTATGGTGACATTTTTGCCCCGGGTTATCCAGCCAACTAGAGGCACCTGATTCTTGCTCCTGACCTCTGGTGCGCAGAAGCACAGCAAGGCACAGCCCATCCAGCAGGGCTCTGCTGTGTCCCCTGGCACTGGGCTCTGGGGCAGCTGATCCGGCTGCTGGATCCTCGCTGCTGCTGGGGAGCTCTGTGGGTCTGCTCCACAGCCCTCTGCCAACCACTTGCCATGGCATGCTTTGGGAACTGCTCCTTTAGACACACTGACAAGAGCAGGGTAATGTATTTCTACTGGAAAATAAACATATCTCTAATGAAAACCTGGTGCACCATCATTGAGTTCTTTTTTTTTTTTCTTTTCCTTTTTTAAAGTGAAGATTAGGGCTTTCGTCCTGTCAGACCCAAGCCTTTCCCCCTGCTTGCCATGACAGCCCATCAGCATTGTTTCTCAAGCATAAAGGGAGCCTGAAAACTTAAACAAGCACATAGAAAGCAACAGAAAACCCAAAAGAGACAAAGGACATTTGAATGGGAGCTTCCCTTCCCTTCCCCTTCCCCTTCCCCTTCCCCTTCCCCTTCCCCTTCCCCTTCCCCTTCCCCTTCCC